CATAATTCTGAAGAGCTACTTAATTCTCTTTAATAGTCATTAAAATATATATACTCTTTTTTTAAAAAAATATGTATTGATTTGAGAAAAAGAGAGAGAGAGAGAGATGGAGGAGAGAGAGAGAGAGAGAGAGAGAGAGAGAGAGAGAGAGAGAGAGAGAGAAAGTTTAATGGTCCACTTAGTTACTCATTCATTGGTTGACTCTTGCAGGTGCCCTAACCGGAATCAAACCCAAAACCTCGGCATATCTGAATGATGCTCTAACAAAGTGAGCTACCTGGCCAGGGTCACCCATATAAACATCCAAAAATAGTATATCACAAGCATAAAAATGTAATTAAGTCTCCCTGTCTAGGCTTCTTAGTTCATTAACAAAGACTAGTCTAATTAATTTAAATTAACATAAAATGCTTAAGAGAATTAAAGGATTGCTTTTAGCTAGGCAATCCACAAAATACCAAGATAAAAGCTTTTGTATAAATAGTTTGGAATGTTGCAGCTTGCAGTAATGATGGGCAAGACTATTAAACATCTATGGTTTTCATAAGGGAAGTACAACTAAATCAGTGTGTAGAAATGTGCACAGCACCTCAAACTTAATCCCACTTAAATTAATGTATGTGGAGAATTCAATGGAAATATAAGTCAGCTCTAAATTTATATTCTGCTATATTAACATTTCTTGAAAGTTGTTACTGTAAACATTTCCAGTCTTCCGAACTTCTTGTCTTCTGTATGTCGGCATACTGAAAGTGCTCAAGTAAGATACTATAGACTACTAGAAGAAAAAGCTTCAGAAAGGTATGATTATAGAAGGATCAGTATTCTATAACCCCCAAATAGTGTCCTTTCCTGCCCAAAGACATCTGCGATTCATTAACCAAAGCGCTTGTGCAGATTTTCTCTCTGTACTTACAAAAAATCTAAATAGTGTGAGGAGGGTAAAGTCATGACATAAATTCACAAAAAGGTATAAATAATGGACAGCTAGTAAATTCTTTTTAGTAGATTTCAGCAGAATGATGGACAAATTTATCTTAAAGAGCCTTTTATCTGAAAGGGGAGAAAGTAACTGAAAATTAGAGTTACAAAAATAGAAACAGTTTTTGAAAAACAGCAAAGACTGATATCAGGGAATAATAACTGAAAAAACACAAAACACTGAAGAATGGTGAAGACTTTCTAAAAATTATACATTTTCAACATAAAATGTATAAGCTGTATGTTGAAAATGTATCATGTAATTAAAAATAAATTGATATAAACAGATAACTGAATAAATGAAAGAAACCACTTAATGACCACTAGAATAAGTTAAAAAATACACACACACACACACACACACACACACATAGTCAATTCTTGGTATTCATGGTATTCATTCTATAAAGTCACTGAATTAGTCGATACATTGCTCCTGCAGAAATACTACGTTAGGTTCCTGCAAACTTCTGGTCACAAAATTTTTGTCAATCAATCAATACATAACCTTGTTTTATGTGTGTTTCTGTATAAAGGTACCTTTATATATGATCAATTCATTAACACTGAACTCATGATCAAAAGCACTATCCCTCATGTCTGGACAATGCTTCTCTAACATATATTTTTCTCCATAGGGCATACCAAAGCTGGGAATGAGCACGTCCAATGACTCAAACATTCTGTTGCTCTGAATAGCCCAGAATAGCCCAGAAAGCACCATGAGTGCTGATTTGAGGGTTAGTGAGTAGGTGAATTTGTAAATACAAACTTTGGGAGTGATGACGATCCACTGTACCTGGGTTTTAATGCTAGTTTTGTGCTCATTTGTGTGATGCTAGGTTAGTGACATAAGTTCAGTTCCGAATCTAAAAAGGTTTAAATAGTATATTAGAACACCTCTAAATTCCTTGTCACTTCTGAATTTCATAGAACCCAGGATCTCTAGTTAAATTCAGCCACACTGCATACTAGGTCCTCCATAATTTAACTTTTTTTCTTTTTTAACCTATCCAGGCCTGTTTTCTTTTGTATGGAAACTTATGTATCTCTAATAAGGGAAGGTTATGTTGATTTCCACCTACCAATCATCATGCACTCACACTCTCACATATACTTCATCCATCCATTCATCCCTTTCATCAGCAAACATGAATCATGCATGTAGTGGTGCCGAACATATCATGATCAACAAGACAAGTAAGATTTCTACCCTCTGATGATCATATCTAGTGAGAGACAATAACCGTGCAAGCAAATCCATAACAAATTTCAAAAGATGTAAGTGCAATGAACTAAGGTAAAACAGAATAATGATTTATAGTCCATTGTAGGTAAGAAGATATTTTATTTATTTATTTATTTATTTTTATCCTCACCCAAGGACATTTTTTCATTTTTTTATTCAGGTAGAGCAGGAGGGAGAAAGAGGAATAGAGACTGAGAGAGAAACATCGATGTGAAAGGGACACATTGAGTGGCTGCCGCCCGCACGACCAACCAGGGCCGGGGACAAACTGTAACCGAAGTAGATGCCCTTAGCGGGAACCGAACCCGGGCCTCTCTGGACTGCAGACTGACGCTCTAACTGCTGAGTAAAACCGGCCAGGGCAGTGAGAACATATTTTAAATAGAGTTACCAAGTAAGGAGTCTTTAAGGAGGCGATGATTAAGAAGAAATCAGAATTAAGTAAGAGAGGAGGGAAGAAAGCAGAGATCCCGAAGTAGAAGAACATCAATGGCAAGCGCTGGGACGTGGCAGTAAATGTCACGGAAGAGAAAGAAGACCCAGAGGGGTCGGCACAAAGAGGAGAGAAGGAGCTTGGGACCAAACTGTGGCTTTGCCTTGGTCCATGATAATTAAATTTGTTTTATTTTACGTATAATAGGAAATCTCTGAGAGAATTTAAGCAGAGTAGTGTTATGATCCAATTCACATTATAAAGTATCATTCTGGCCTTGTGGACATCAGGACACATAGGGCCAGGGGGGAGGGGGAGAGGGGGGTGGGGGGGGAGCCGCAAGGCCGTCACCAAGTTCCTAGACATGGGGCGGTGGTGGGAACAGAGTGGTAGCCAGAAAGTAGGTATAAAGTGCTCAGATATGGGACATGTTTTGAAGAAAAAAATAAATGGAATATGCTGATGGACTGGCCTCAGTGTTAAAGAGAAAAAGTAGAATTAAGAATATTCTTTGAGTAAATAGAGACATACTGAAATAGTAAATACGGAATAAGGAAGTCTGAAGAAGACCGGCTCAGTGAGTAAGACAACATAATCACAGGTTTGGTTCTGGTCATTTAAAGATGAGAGGCCTATCAGACATTCAAATATGTTCAGCATATAAATGAAGGAGAAACAAATAAGGAAATAAATTAAAATTAAAAAGATCAGGAAACTGGAGATAATACATTAAATGTACTGTAAGCCAAACTATGACATAACTTTCCCCCTATCCCAAAGCTTAGTAATAATTTATTCATACACTCAATCAACATGTATTTATTGTAACTACTCTGTGTTAGTCATGGTTGTAAGTGCCTGAGATGTAAATCTTTCCTATTTGTCCTTTGTACTATCCTGGTCTTTGGATGTATGGAATAAATGCATTTTCTGACATCACTTCTGTAATAAATAGAATTCCATAAATCATTGGATTATATATTGAAAGATAGTCCATTGCCTATTTTTTGCAATATCACAACATACAAGTAATAAGGTTATTAGGTAGATACTTTTTCAATGAACCAACTGTTTTGTTTTCTAAATAGCAGGGGAATCCTACCCAATTTTAGTTTACTGTTAACAATAAATAGGTCTCATTTGAATAATGTTTGTAATCTTATTGATCCATGAAAATAATAAAATGCAAATGTGAATCAAATAATCTCAGAAGCAAGATTTCCAAAAATGCAAAATGATTGAAAGCATCAACATTATGATCACAGCAGAAAAGATCACTTTTTCATGGTAAAAAGAAAAATATGTCTTGGAAATAAAATGGTACATGCAAAGAAGTAGAGGAAGGTCTCAAAAAATATATTACACAGCTTTCAGGCAGGGGTACAGTATTCTCTGGGATTCCCCTGGTGCTCCTGCTGTGGGGACAGAGACACCACTCAGTCACTGTGCTCAGTAGACCCTGGCAGTGGTGGTGTCCAACACTGCCTTCTGATTGCTTGGTCAGTGAATCAGCCTTCTAATCCGTGATGTAATAATCTCCAGCTGGGGCATCTGTAACCCCTGCCCGGACCTACCACCACGATCTCATCATTCCTTCCCACTTCACTTGGGCTCTCAAGTTCAAGACTGGTTTTTTGCTTGAAACATACTCTGGAGTTCCTGATAACTTCCCCTATCTCTTGACTTCTAATCCCTAACTCAGTTCCCTTGACCTCACAAAAATGACTCATTAGCCAGCTTGGCAATTTGGGGCCCAGACTTTGCTCCAGAATTCTGACTGGCCTTTGGTTTATTCCGCCCTCACCTGACAGCGTGATGTTGGTGCTGACCTCCTCCTCGATAAATATTTTTCATGAAGTCAAAGGCGCCTAAGAACACGTAAATCCCTATTTGTGATATAAACAATTTTCTGGATAATGGCAAAAATGGGTTTCCCCCAACAACAGCAAAAACAGATGATCTACCTTTTAACCTCTTAGTTTAGAAGAGAAATAAAAGTTCTATTATTTAATGGATATTTCAAACAGTCTTGTGAAACAAGCCTGTACATTTGTAAAAAAAAAACAAAACTATTGTCAGTACTTCAAACATTCTAATTCAAATAGTACAGATAATGTAAACTCACTTTAATCTTCTTGAAACTGTCTGCAACAAGGGAAAAGATGGGAGGAAAAAAAGGCATTGGCTCTTGATGTTACATTTTATAGGCAATCCTTTGCTTCTTGGCTGATTAAAAAGCTGATTCTCTGGTTCTTTGCTTATTTAATGAGGAGCCCCTTAAATGCCACTGTCATTTATAGAGCATATGCTCCAAGAAGGTTGCCTGAAAGACTGTACCTCAAAGGCCTGAAAGGTCAATCCCACATAGTAGTCTTCTGACACTGTTATTTTCCACACACATTCTTTCATCGGCCTGTAGTCATCGGGGTAATTAGGAGACTGAATCTGTCCTTCATTTTTACGTATCTCACCTCCACAGATCGCTGAGGAAAGCAAAAATCAATAAATAAACCCAGACACGCCATTTCATTTTCATTTTCTTCTAAGATAACATTTTAGTTCAGTGCCTGTAGCAGAGACCGTAAAGACCAGGTTATAAAAATCAAAGTTGGCCGACTGCACTGTTGTAAAAATTTAGATGGTTAAAAAAGAAAACCTAGCCACTTAAGTATAAATATTAGATAATAGCACAGGAATACAGGATTTTTTAAATCACCGTTAATGCTCATCTTTACTCAAAATAAAAAGCATCGTTTTAACACTTAAAGAGCCCGAGATTTTGTCAGGGTAGTGTGAGTCTGCTCCGGGCATCCCTGGGCTGCCCCGTCCAGAGTTTTGCCTGCAGGTGAAACAGCTGATCAGGGGAGACGCTCCCAGAACTCTCTGGGCCCCTGGCCAGGGGCGAGCGTCATGGGCTCGACATCTGTGGCTCCATCCAAATATCCTCTCACTGTCGTGCAGTCCATCTTGGACACAAAATGCCTCTGTGGACTTGAAAGTTTACGGGAAGCAGAAAACTCCTGTCTTCTAACTTTCCTAAGCTCCTGTCCTAGCAGAGGCAGGAGCACAGAGGGTCTCCTCCAGCCGCAGCCTGGCCAGACGGAGGGAGCCAGGAAGCCCAAGGCCCACGCATGGTTTTAGAGAAGCAGAGAACAAAGCGCCCGGGACGTTCTCCCCTGAACGCTGACCCTCTGCTTCAGACAAAGCGTGCTCCAGAAATGTCGCAGTTACTCTGTTCAGTTTCCTACAACAGAACATTTCAGCAGTACAGGCCCCGAACGGACACAAATTCAGCATGGAGGAAAGTGATCGTTTCTTCACCAGATTCTATCCTGAAAAATACATTTGCAGTTTAGGAATTCTTATGTCCCCCCACCCCACACACCTATTCCTGAGTCCCTGAGTACATTCATATGTTACTACATCACTGGTACTAGAAAATAGGTTGACCCTGTATTTTACATTCACCGAGTACTTTTTTTTTTCATCCTCACCGGAGGATATTTTTGCATTTATCTTCAGATAGAGTGGGAGGAAGAGAGAGAGAAACATCGACGTGAGAGAGACACATCGAGTGGTTGCCACCTGCATGACCCCAACCAGGGCCGGGGACAAACTGCAGCTGAGGTATGTGCCCTTAGTGGGAACCGAACCTGGGACTCTCTGGTCCGTGGGCCAACGCTCTAACTGCTGAGCCAAACTGGCCAGGGCTTACCAAGTATTTTTACTAAAAATCATCCTTGTCAATATGATAACACAACTTTCCAAAACTTTATAATTACACTATCAGTCTCCTGAATTTGTATTTTTTGTGTTTATTCTCTCCTGTGTCTGAGAGAAAGGATGCTCTGGTAGGAGCTCTCAGAGGAAGTGCCGTGTGGAACTCAGCGTGACTTGCCTTCATAGAGGGCTGCAAAGCCTTTTCCCACCCAGTTACTGCTGCTACGAAACTCGATCCACATTCTGCTGTCTGTAGAGGTAAGGACTTCGGGCAATTTGTCCCCACAGAATCTACCTAGAAGAAACAAAAGAATAAAGAGACTCCTAAATATGACTGTATTCTAATTGCTTTCCACATTAGCTATAAGGTATATATATGAAACCTGATTTGGTTTCTATTTCTATCCTTAGTAACTAGAGCCATAATTCTACCTTAATATTTACATAATAAAGGTGGATATATAAAATAATCCCTTTGTACTTATTTATAAAGTATTAGAACATATCTTCAGATTAACCAACTGATGTCATCTTTATCGTAGAATGAAGAATGAGCTAGGTCAAAAGACCTACTTGTAGAAAGTCATGTAACACATCAAAGCAGAGAACATTATTCTATGAAGAACAGAACGAAGTAAAAGGGGTCCTGAGAAACCGGTTGAAATAGTCAGTGTGGTCATTAGTAGGGGAGTCACTTGATTAAGGATGTGTCTCAGCTCAAAGTAGAGTTCACTGTCTAACCAGGTTCAGTGATGACTCATCAGAGAAGCCCAGGTTCAGTGATGACTCATCAGGGAAGCCCACATGCTGCTCCAAGAACCAAGGTTACTGCATACATTTCATTTCATCTATAAAGCTATAATCTGTAGTGTAGTAGGCAGAATGGCAAATAGTATCAGAAAAATGCAATATAAGTTCTAACATTTTTAACTGCGTATCCATAGGCAAATGTATCCACATGACTATAAAAATTTCTGTCTTCTTTCTTCCCTCAGCTGTTCACAAATATGTATTACTGAGTGTATGTCTGCCACTGGGTTCTAAGCTCCCATAAGTTGACAAAATGGTTAAATATGACAATGCACATGAAATCATTCCACAGACAACATACTGGCATCCATCTTTGTGTCCCCCTGGCAATGATGTCGTACATAATTCTTAAACTGTAACATGCTTACCAACTGCCAGGGCGTCTGTTAAAACACAGTCCCGAATTCAGAAGGGATGGTGAGGACATACATTGCTACATTTTTAACAACCTCCCAAGTGATTCTGATGTTGCCAGTCTGACGGCTACACTAGGAGGAGCACATTTTGGAGGAAAAAGTGGGGAAACATATTTTCCATGTGGAAACTCCGAGCAGGGTGCAGGGCCCTTGGGCACGGCAGCAGGTAATTCCAATGATGCTCTGAAAAATAGTGCTCTCCAAATTTTTAGCTTGACATCTGATTCTTCCATGTGAGTTTAGTGAAATGTTTTCTTTGGAATGCATGCACATATATCATGAACTGCTTCATCTAGGCTAAGAAGCCAAATGCTCAAGACAATGTTTTCCTCAACCTGACTCATCAAATTAGTTCAAACCTTTATTTTTCTTTACCTTTCAAACCTTTCTTCAGATCTCTTGGACTAACTAAGGCTGCTGTCACTTTTAATACAATAGTGTCCATTCAACGGGTTTTAGATGGTAGGAAAAAAATATGTACGGTACAGAAACACAACTGAGCAAAGCTGTTTCTAAGACTAAAGGAAAGTCACAATCTCAAACAAATCGATAGATGCTGACATGCTTACAGCGGCTCTCATCGTTAAGTAACGGGAACAGGAAAGTGCTTCATGCAAGTTAATGGAGTGGTCTGCGGTTTAACACGGCAGCAGGCTTTTCTGAGAATCAAATCTGAGCTGCAATTTATGACACAAACTACAAATGTCTCTTCTTAGCCACAAAAAAATACTCTCTGAGAAGCAAATCTGTGTTGTCTGCAGTCCGAGCTAATATGCTTAGCAGAGGAAGCCAGTGACCAACAGCTGTACCTAACAGCTCACAATCCACTGTCTAAGCAAACCAAACAAAATGCACACCACACACACACACACACACACACACACACATACACTATCTGTTTTTTTCTCATTCAAACTATGGTTTTAAAATGAAAAATACAGAAATGCTGTGATGAGGAGTCACTATAAGCATAATGCAGATGAAAGCTATTCTAAGTTGTTATTCTAAATCAGATCTGAGTACTACCTCAAATTGAAGCTAGTTTAAATCAATCTACATGTATTGATCGATCTGTGAGTATTTTTGCTGTAGTTCAAAGATGTATAGTAAAACTAACATGCTGGTCACACACAGTTTTAACTCTAAGATGATTCTTGAAAGAATCGATTGTCTTTAGGCAGGACAGACTATATGTACAGCCACATAGAAGGTAAACCATCTCTTACCAAGGAGCGCGGATTTCCGCCAGTACCCGTCTCTTACTTCAATGTAGTCATACCAGCACAAACTACTTTTGTATAAGTCCATCGTGGTAAAGTTTAAAACAATCTGCAAAATGGAGCAAAACAACACAGAGTAAAAATGACTGTAACTGATTCCTGCAGGTTAGGAGGCCAGGATACTGTGAAAACAGATGCTATTTCTCTACATTATTATTCTCCTAATTTTTTTTCCTTCACAAACACCTCAAAAAACCACACAAAACACTAGTTTTCTCATTCTCACTAGTTTAACAATATAAAAACATAAACATTTTAGCAACTAAACTGGTTTCTGTAAATCTGACCAACTGTGAAATAAAAAGAAACTTTTATTCATATAGCTTATTTTGAATTTTCTAAGATGAACATGATTTAGACCATGAAAAGTTCTGATTTTGCCATAAATGGCTTCTTTTTAATAATTGATTTCAAAGACAACCAGTCAGGCATATATAATCATGTTAAAAATAACCACCACGTGCCATATTCCAAGAACATAACATTGCGTATGTTGAAATGTTTCCAGAATGGCTCTCGAATTTGCATTTGTCCATGTAACTATAATCAAAGGCAGACGTCACTATGCTTCTCTAGATCCAAGACTATATATTCGAAGACCTTTCAAGTTAGTCTTGCACATGACCTTTATTCTGTACTTTGTTTGGAAATGCTTCTGCTTTTTGTGAAGATAATTCAAGAACAGCTCTTAGAAGGACAATTTTCTTACTGCTTTACAAAAAGACTTTACTTTTCAAGTAATTAACTCTTTTTTCATTTCATTACACCCAAAGGAGAGCCAAACTAATGAGAAATTCACCTACCTGATGGAAAAAAATTTCATTTGGAAAATATTTTTTTTATATTCAAAGCCATTCTAACTCTGTTCTGCTTAAAATAGCTAAGCTAATTAAGGCATACAGTGAACCTGTTCTTTATTTCAAAAACTGAAAAATACTTTGGCTAAAAGCAACAAATTATAAGTATTTGAAATGCTTCTAATATAAAGCTATAGTTGTAACAATATAAAGAATCTTTTTGAGGTGATACAAAAATCTAGATGTAAGAGAACTCTCAAGGAATGACTAAAAAAGAGAAAGAAAAAGAAAAAAATATCAATCAATTCTGAATCCACATTCCAGAATTACTACCATTTTTGTGTTAGAAAACATATACTTCTCCCTTTTCTTGATATTTAACAGAAAGTTCAATACTAATTATGGAAAATCAATCCTTAACTAGCTTACTTCTTCCAAGAATGAAGATACAGCATAACAATAAATATTTCTTATGGCATATTTTAACTTAGCATCATAATGATCACCCATGAAATTGTACACCAAAGTTGGTTATAATTGCATATGTAAATAATCATTTTATGGAGATAAAAACTAAGAATTTATCTAACTATAATAAAAATCGGTTGTACCCTATAATGGTATTGACATTTCACCATTAAATTCAATGTATTTCAATTTCTTTACATGCACTTTCTAGATTACAAAGAGATGAAATCTACCAAAGATGTCAAAATAGAGACACACTTTTTAAATGTAATACAGTAGGTGTGGCATAATTTTGTTTTAATAAAATGGTTCATTTATTTTTATCTACCTCATTTATAGTTTATTTTTTCCTTTGTTTTTCGTCTCCTTCACCTACTTTTATCATCCCAAATATTCTCAAAAATGTTTACAAAAATTTCCACAATAGCCAAGGACAAAGGTCTTATCATTTTCTTTCTTTTTAAATAATCCTCAACAGTTGATTATGAAAGTGCATACTTTCTGAACTATTTTCCTAAAGATCCCAACATGTTTCCTCCTCCATCTCTGAAGACCAATGCAACATTAAGTTATTCCTAGGACATAAGTGGGAAATATTTTTCTCATGTTTCTCCTTAACTTTGCATTTACTTTAAGTCTGCTACCAACTGGGAATACAACCAGTGCTTGATATTTCCATTTGCAATTGTATTCTCCCTGTAGCAATCGCCAGGGTTTCAACTCTGTATGCTCATACAAGAATTAATTTATTACAGCAGAGATGGCACTAGAACAGATGCGAACGGTAGACCCCAAGGCTTATTTTGTGGTTTCCCTCTTGGATTTACAGGGGGTTTTATGATAGTGTGAAAATAATTTCAACTTCCTCCTCAATGAGGGGGAAAAAATCAGCTAAATTAGAAGTATGTATATCATCACATTTTATTCAGAATTGAAACAATGTGCTTGGATTGCTAACACATAGTTAATATCGGAAGTTTGGAACACACACATGCGCGCACACGCACATTTGGAAGGAGAATAATTCTAAACAGAAAAGTTTCCTATCTTGTTTTTAATCTTCTATTTTAAATGCCAAGCACCATGGAGAAACAAAACTGGCCTACTTTAATATAAAACACAGAGTCCTTTAGAAGCAGAAAATGTAATAAAGATAGGTTTTCTAAAAATCAAATCTGAGGGCTCTGGTGTAGAAGCAAACTGCTGGCCCTTTACTAAGGCTGCTAGCAGAATCCATACTTGAATTACATACAAATCATAAGCACTGGAAAATATGTGGTTATTCTATGTAAATATGTTGCATCTCTTTTCAAAGAATGGCAAAATAAAAATGAGCACAATTATATAAATGTTTTATTTCTTATGATAAGTATCACCATTTATCAATTTAAAATTAACCATAATTCCCTTGGAACATGTGACTGAGGGAGATACAGGGAACAATTCTAAGATTTCCTGTTATCAGTCGAGGGTCTTAGCTGATATTCTGAAGTTAAATTGATACAATTGTGCTGGAGTTTGCTTATTAAAGACTGTTTTACGACGATGTAGAGAGAGTGAAGAATATTGAAGACAGACAGATCAAACAGTCTAGGGACCTAGGGACCAAATGGCTGCAAGTCTCCAGAGAAAGATATAATCAATAAACTTTTGTCAGCACAATGAAGACATTGTTGACTACCTAAACTAATTCCATGAGCATCACAGAAAGATCAACTAGAACAACATTTATACCGTACAGTGCTGAGGATGGGGAAGATGTTACAAATTTTGTCAATTATACTGATATAATTAAGTGGTTCTTTAGAAAGATATATCAGAATCAAAAGCAGTAAATAGATTTCTGGGCCCCAGCTAGAAGAATCTTAGAAAAAGTCTTATAAACTCTCCAGGGAACCTACAGCCTTCTCAGAACTAAGACACACAAGGAGCAGAACAGGAATCAGTAAACTATGCTCCATGGGCTAAATCCATCCGGCAGCCAGTTTTTGTCAAGAAAGTTTTGTTGGAAATATTCCTTTACATATTGTCTGGGACTAAACAATAGTAGAATTGAATATTTGAAACAAACTGTGTAACCTGCAAAGCTAAAAATATTTACTGTATATTTTTTCCAGAAAAATATGCAACTCCAGGAATAATGATCATTAAAGTTTTTTTTAGCTCTGAACTATATTATGCTAAAGGGGGAAATGTGCATCTTTTCCTACAGCGAGAAGCTGTTTGTGATTGAGAGTCAGAAAGCCTGGGTTAGAGTTCTAGCTTCTCAGTTTGTTAGTTTACTTAAATTTTCTGAGTTTGAATAAATTTTCTTGCTGTACAGTGGAGGTTATCATACCAAGCTGATCTCAACAGAATTAAATCAGAAGGATTTAATTGGATAATGTATAGAAAACACTAATAAATGTATGCATGATCAATGGACTTGGACAACTAAACCGGGGACGGGGCGGGACGGGGGTGGGGAGGGGGGTGCCAATGGGGTAAAAAAGGTAAAATATCTGTAACAAAAAATAAATAAAAATGAAAAAAAAAAAAACCACTAATAATACAAAGCATTGCTAAGATCCTCATATATTATTATTTTCATAGAACATATTCAGGCATCCTTCACAATATAAATGCTGAAACAGTTATGAAATAAAAGTATCAATCCAATTTACTTAATCCAACTATACTGGGAAACACAAAAATATAGGCTCAATTTTAAAGTTTCTCAGGAAAATCAACATGTCAAAGAAATGGATTCTTACTTTAAAGTATAAAGAAGAACTGACAAGAAAGCTTGTGGCCATGGGTCAAATCCCTGCCTTACGACAGACCAATTGTATGACTCAGGTAGATCCCTACTTCCATCAGGGATTAATTATATGACGGATAGAAAACAATAGTGGAATTATGCTACAAAAATAAATTTTTTGCTTAAATATGTATGATAATCTCTAGATTTTGAAATTTTGATTTGTCATTGCCAACTACTCACCAGAACATTTTTGAAAAATTAATAGGTTTTATTATTTCTGAGGTCATGTATATTTATTACATAATTAGTACAGGTTTCATTCAATGATTATATCCTCTCTGCAAACAGTTTACAAAAATCCCACTTGGTATAAATTAATTTTTTTATTATATTGGATTATATTGAATATATATATTTTATTATTTATAACATACATATATTATTGTTGACACTATTACAGATGCTCCCTATTCTCCCCCCTTTTGCTCACCTCCAAGCCCCCCTTCCTCTGACCTTCACCACATTGTTGTCTGCGTCCATGGCTGTGCATATATGTTCTACCTCCCTTTCCTTAATCCTGACTCCAACTTTATATCTCATCAATTGCAACTTCTATATACGATACTAAGCAATGATGCAAAAAAATGTTCTCCTCCTTCCTTTTTCAGTCAGTGCTTCCCATGCTTCTCTGAATGAACTGCACTAGCTCCAAGATCGGAGCTCTCTTATCTCTGCAAATCCATGACAAGTTGTAGCTTGCTTTCTTCAATTATTTTCAGAGCTTGCCTACTATATCACTAGGCCTTGTCCTTGACATATGTGCATAAGATTCTTGATAGTAAAGATTTCTTTCACACACCAGAAGACACATTTTAATAGAATCAACAATTTATCTACACAGTAATCGCTAAGTTTAAGCACTGTCGTTTGGAATATAAATATTATATTTTAAATTGGCCCCATATGTTTAAACCACTAGATGAGTGGTTCACAAGACATTTTTTTTTGCAAAATGAAAGTAGTCAAATGATAGCTTTTAAATGGGTTACATAGAAAAAGAAAAAATGTTAACTATATTCAATACATAAGAAGTCTACCCTCGTTAAAAGATCAATCAGTTCTGAGGGATAGAAGAATCGATACTGCATGCTTTTATCAGCTCAGCGGCTACATTCTCAGCAGCATATCCTGGACTGTTACCAGCATGTACTGTACAACATCAAAAACAGCCTTAGATTGGACAGGAATCTGTCTACCTTGGCAGGCTCAGTCCTACAAAGACATTCACGTGCATTGACAAGCTCATTTTTTTTATTGTGGTAAAATATAACATAAAATTTGCCATTTTAACCATTTTAAATGTACAGTTCTATAGAATTAAGTACATTCATATTGTTGTGCACCAGTAATCTTATTTCTTAAACAATATATTTTCTGTATAAAATAATATATGCTTATCATAGAAAATAAAAGGAAGAATAAATGCAATCTATATATAACTCAAACAGGGAGAAATGAACAATATTTTGGTATATATTCTTCCACAATTTTGTCTCTAACATATGTACTTTAAAAATTAGATCTCTTCATGCTTATGATTTTTAACCTACTTATTAAATTTCCCAATATATTGAAAACATAGTCCTCTAGTTCCAGGAAACATAGTCTTTTAAAAACAAACAAACAAATAAATAAATAATGTTTGTAACAAGGGTACCATGGTGTTTAGTTAATAACTCATGTGATTATTTTCAGAGAGATAAATTTAGTCACATTTATATCATGTTTTATTCCTTCTTAATGAGCATAATTTGATTTTAAAAAAAAAAGATCATATAAGCCTTTCATTTTTATACTGGTCATTCTATATATTTTTGTAAAATAGAATATTTACTCTTTTAAAATCCATTATATATTTCCTGAACTATTTAGTCTCTTATCTGATGAGTCAAACAAGAATAAAAAATAAAGCAAATTATATTTGAAAAATGAACCTTTGTACTTATATGAGAGTAAAAGAGAACTCCTGACGTGGTAAACTACCTTCTCCCCTGGGGTCACAGAAACTCTCCAGATGCAGTGTGTATAGGAAGGGTAGCCATTTGGAAATCCTGGAGAGGAAAGGTTGCCATTGGACTCTTGTAGGGTTTCTCCACATGCTGAAATAAAAATAAAAAATACATATATTTTATTTTTTTTAAAGATGACATCTATGTTTCCCAAAAATGTTAAAATAGTTCTTTAATTTTTATGAAAGGCATGGGCATCATAATTGAAACCTGATATTTTGCTGTTAGACAAGAGTATATATTTATATTTTATAAAAGACTTATTCTAGAAGGATTCCAAAATGGCGGCAGAGTGAATGGAAGCTGCACAGGCCATCTAACAGGAACAAACTGGAATTACACAAAAACAAAGACAAATTGTCGGGAGAAAGCAACAGAAAAGCAGCTGGAGAGGACCTATATAACTAGGGACAGGAAAACAGGACAATGAATAGAGCCTGGTAGGTCTGCAGAGGCACAAAAGGGCATGCTGGCAGCCCACAGTCATCAGCTGTTTTAGCTGTGAGCAGCTTTTCTGGGGTTAAAATACCAAGCCCGCTTCACACTGCAGAGGGCCAGGAAAGAGCATAAATTAGTTACAGCCACTCACCTTGGGCTATGGCAGAGAAAGGGTGGATTGGACTGGAACTGTGTGGGGACACTCGGGATTTGGAGGGCACTCAGAGTTTTGGTGGAATCATGGCCATACAGAACGGTGGCCATCTTGCTCGGGGAGCCTCTTCACATAGCTCTGAGGAGCAGTAGCAGCCCCTCCCTTGGAGATTTAACCCCACCCAGCTGGGCCAGAGAAATGCAAATTGAGGCTCATTAACCAGCGTCAGCCCCATCCTCTGGAAATCCTATTATTCTAAACACCTGAGGGAGTTTTTCATTCAGCTGAGGAATACAACCCAAGGCTCATCGACGAACTGAGACTAATAGCCTCCAGGCAAAAAGCTAGAGGATAATTGAACCTTTTCTGAACTTGCAAATCTATCCAGGAAAGTAAGACTTGACAGCAGAACACCAAGACCACAGGGAAAATTTGGCAGGCTCCAAAAGCCACCAAGATAACAAAAATGGTGAAACAAAGAAACAAATCCCAAGTGAAAGAACAAGAGAAATCTACTGAAGATGAGATCAATGAAATGCAGTTAAGCAAGTTATCAGAGATAGAGTTCGGATCTTGAGGAAACTCAACACCATGAGTAAAGATATAGAAACATTGAAAATCAATCAATTGAATAGAAAAGCACCAAGAAGAAATGAAGAATGACATGGCAGAAATAAAGAACACATTGGAAGGAATAACCAGCAGAGTAGATGAAGCTGAGGATTGGATCAGTGAATTAGAAGAAAGGGTAGAAAAAAATCAACAAATCAGAGAACAAAAGAAAAAAAAACAATTAAAAAACAGGAAAGCAGCTTAAGAGAACTGTGGGACAACTGGGAACATAACAACATTTACATCATAGGAGTTTCAGAAGAAGAAGAAAATGAGTAAGGGTTAGAGAATATATTTGAAGAAATAGTGACAGAAGACTTCCCTAACTTGATGAAGGAAGAAGGCATTCAATTTCGAGAAACACAGAGAACTCCAAGTAAGAAGGACCCAAACAGGCCCACACCAAGACACATAAAATTTTAAATGCCAAAAATTAAAGACAGAGAGAGAATTCTAAAGGCAGCAAGAGATAAGCAACGGGTTACCTACAAAGGAACCCGCATAAGGCTCTCAGCTGACTTCTCAACAGAAACACTCCAGACCAGAAGGGAATGGCATGAAGTAATCAAGGTCATAAAAAACAAGGATCTGAATCCAAGACTACCCAGCAAGGCTATCATTCAAAATAGAAGGTCAAATTAGGAGCTTCCCAAACAAACAAAAAAAAAAGGCTAAGAGAATATATTAGCACCAAACCAGCATTACAAGAAATTTTAAAAGAACTGCCGTAATTAGCAGGAGAAATAGGAAGAAAAATATAACCACACTAAACAAAAATGGCAATAAATAAGTACATATCAATAAACTCCTTAAATGTAAATGGATTGAACACTCCGATCAAAAGATTCAGTAGCTGATTGGGTAAGAAAGCATGACTCATATATGTTGTTTATAAGAGACCCACTTCACAACAAAAGACTCACATAGGTTGAAAGTGAAGGGATGGAAAAAAATCTTCCAAGCAAACAGAAAGCAAAAAAACAAACAAACAAAAAAACAAAAGCTACGGTAGCAATATTCAGATCTGATAAAATAGATTTCAAAATGAAAGCCATAACTAAAGACAATGAAGGCCACTACATAATATTGAAAGGATCTATCCAACAGGAAGATATAACCTTGGTAAACATATATGTATCCAATTTAGAAGAACCAACTTATATTAAAAATCTTCTGGAAGACTGCAAAGGAGAAAGCAACAGCAATGCAATCATAGCAGGGGACTTCAACACCCCGCTGACATCACTGAATAAATCCTCTAAACAAAAAATTAACAAGGAAACACAGACTCTAAATGAAGCACTAGACCAAATGGATTTAATAGATATCTACAGAGAATTACAGCCCAAAACTGCAGTATCCACATTCTTCTCAAGTGCACATGAGACATTCTCAAAGATAGACCACATGTTAGGACACAAACTAAGTCTCTACAAGTTCAAGAAGATTGAAAACATATCAAGCATCTTCTCAGATCACAATGGCATGAAACCAGAAATCAATTGCAACAAGAACATGCAGAAACATTTGAACATATGGAGGCTAAGCATGTTATTAAACAACAAATGGGTTACCGAGGAGATCAAGGAAGAAATTAAAAACTTCCTGGAAACCAATGAAAATAAACAAACAACAATACACAATCTATGGGATGCAGCGAAAGCAGTTCTTAGAGGGAAGTTCATAGCACTACAGGCCTACCTCAAGAAACAAGAAAAATTTCTAACTGACTATCTAACCTCACAACTTAAAGAAATAGAAGCAAACAAAAAGAAAACCTCAGAGAAAGTACAAGGAAAGAAATCGTAAAGATCAGAGCAGAAATAAATAACATGGAGACAACAACAACAAAAAAAAAATTCAAAAGATCAATGTAACAAAGAGCTGGTTCTTTGAAATGATAAACAAAATTTATGGACCCTTAGGTAGACTCACCAAGAAACAGAGAGAACCCCAATACACAAAGTCAGAAATGAAAGAGGAGAAGTAACAACTGATAACACAGAAGTACAAAGGATTCTTAACAAATACTATGAAGAATTATATGGCAACAAATTAGACAATCTAAGCAAACTGGACAAATTTCTAGAAACACATGGTCTCCCAAAACTGAACCAGGAAGAGATAGAAAACTTGAACAGACCAATAACAACTAAGGAAATTGAAGAGGTAATCAAGACTCTCCCAGCAAACAAAAGCCCAGGCCTGGATGGCTTCACGGGGGAATTTTACCAAATATTCAAAGAAGAACTAACACCCATTATTCTCAAACTATTCCAAAAATTCAAGAAGGAAGACTCCAAAACTCGTTTTATGAGGCCAGAATAATTTCAATTCCAAAACCAGAAAAAGACACTACAAAGGAATAACACTACAGGCCAATATCTCTGATAAATTTAGATGCCAAAATCCTGAACAAAATACTAGCAAATCGAATCTAGCAATCCATCAAAAAATTATCCACCATGACCAAGTGGGATTCATCCCAGGCATGCAAGGCTGATACAATATTCACAGATCAATAAATGTGATAAACCACATAAACAAAATGAAAGATAAAAACCATATGATCATATCAATAGATGCTGAAAAAGCATTTGACAAAATCCAGCACCCATTTCTGATAAAAATGCTCAGCAATGTGGGAATAGAGGGATCACATCTTGACATAATAATGGCCATATACGAAAAACCTACAGCCAAAATCACACTCAATGGGCAAAAACTAAAAGCATTTCCTTAAGAACAGGAGCAAGACAGGGATGCCCACTTTCACCACTGGAAGTCTTATCCACAGCAATCAGACATAAAAAAAAAAATAAAAAATAAAAAAGTGGGGATCCAAATTGGAAAGGAGGAGGTGAAACTGTCATTATTTGCAGATGACATGATATTGTACATAGAAAACCCTAAAGACTCCATCAAAAATCTAATAGACTTAATAAATGAATTTGGCAAAGTAGCTGGATACAACGTTAATGTCAAGAAATTGACGGCATTCTCATACACCAACAATGAACTCACTAAAAAAAAAAAAAAAAAAATCCCATTTACTATCACAGCTAAAAAATTAAGATACCTAGGAATAAACTTAACCAAAGAAGTAAAGGACTTATTTGTAGAAAACTACAGGACATTAAAAAAAAAAAAATAGAGGAAGATATAAACAAGTGGAAGCACACAGCTTGTTCATGGATTGGAAGAATTAACATAATTAAAATGTCCATACTACCCAAAGCAATTTATGGAGTTAATGCAATCTCCATCAAAATACCAATGACATATTTCACAGAACTAGAACAAATACTTCAAAAATTCATATCGAACCAAAAAAGACCCCAAATAACCACAGCAATCTTGAAAAAGAAAGACAAAGTAGGTGGAATCACAATACCAGATAACAGGTTATACTACAAAGCTACTGTAATTGTAACAGCTTGGTACTGGCACAAGAACAGGCATATAAATCAATGAAAAAGAACAGAAAACCCAGAAATGGACCAAAGACATTATGCTCAATTTATATTTGACAAAGGTCATAAGAGCATACAATGGAGTAAAGGCAGCCTCTTTAATAAATGGTGTTGGGAAAATTGGACATCTACATGCAAAAAAAAGAAAGAAAGAAAAAATTAAACTAGACCATCAACTTAAACCATACACAAGAATAAACTCAAAATGGATAAAAGACTTAATTGTGACTCGTGAATCCATAAAAATCCTAGAGGAAAATGTAGGTAACAGAGCTTCAGACATCATATGCAGCAGAATTTTCACTGATACATCACCTAAGGCAACAGAAACAGAGGAAAAAATGAACACATGGGACTACATCAAACCTTTTAAAGCTTCTGCACAGCAAAAGATACAACCATCAAAATGGAAA